TCTGAAAAGGTTGTTTCTTCACTGTGTGTATGTGTGCTTGCAGACTGTCTGATGCAGCGTCTTTTTTATCAAGTGCCATTGCATCCCCATCTGCTAAAGACACACTGTCTCCCTCAGCCTTTACATAAACACACATACACACAGGCAGAAGCACTCTTTATGTGAGAGTGGAAAAAGAAAAAGAATGGATTTAGTTTTTAAAAAATACATTGAGTATTAAGCCTTTGGATACAGGTTTCATGGAAAGGAATATCATATATTATAATCCATATAATATCAATAGGGATGGAAAGTTGCATATGCTGTATAATCTGCAAAACCACTGAGGCAAATGTGTAATTTGTGATATTGGGCTATATAAATCAAATTTGATTGAAATATACTCAACTGTGGAGTACCTCAAGGTTCTTATATAGGTCCCCATCTATATCACAACATATATCAAGCATGTTGGCTCATTCATTCAACGTGTTTAAAATACCAGAAATACTTAGTCTCATGAGTCAGACATTAGCCGCATTCACACCGGAGTACTTTTCACCGTACTTTTCGCGTTTAGTTCCGTTAGTACCCCTTATGGCGCGTTCACACCAAAAAGAGCACTTCATCTCGGGAACTTTTACCCCCATTTTTAGTGCCTGCTGAGAGATGGTACTTTCCTGGGGGAAAAAAGTGCCCCAGTTCTGATTGGCTGGGCGAATTGCAAACCAAGCCCCGTACAACTCTGAAATGTTTTGTAGAGCTGCCATTTTATTATCCTCGCATTAGCATTATTAGCATTAGCATTCGCCCAGCGCACAAATGCAGAGAGACTAATTTATGGCAACACAAAATAAAACATGGGAGCAGCTTCTACTGAAGCCAGTCCCCAACTCCGGGGACTTCCGACCAGGGACTCCGGGTGGCAGTATACACCGTGAAGTTGTTTGCGGCCTGCCAGTAAACCCAAAGCAGAAGAAGACGAAGTGACGTCAGCGGCTCATTTGCGTAATCTTCCCTCAGGGAATTTATTCCGGTGTGAACGCGATCTGTACTAAATGCCCTGGGGTAATAAGTGCCAGGGCACTAATGGCGCATTTCCACCATGGCGCGGAGCGCGGTTTAAGCGTGCCATGTCGTGCCGGGCCCGTTTTTGGTTGCGTTTCCACTATGCCTAGTTCCGGCCCGGGGCTACTTTTTCACCTTTTTTCTGGCCCGACAAAATCGTGGTTCTATCGTGGCCAACAAACAGGGCTGAGTCGGGCTGAGTTTGCTAAACTAGAGAGAGAATCGCTGGCAAGGGGGCTACAACTACAACAAAATGAACATATTTGACCGTGATTTAATTGTAATACACGTTTCAAAATGATGCCGAAGTAACAACATACTGATACCGGTTAGTAAAGAGCATGAATTAATGCTTTGACAAGTCTGCAGACTGACGGCAGGCGAAAAACCTTTTAAAATGCGCGTTGTCTAAATGGAGATCGGCTAAGCTAACGCAGTGTATGCTCCGACCGTCCACACTCACAACAACGGCCTATACAGACATAAATAAACCAGCGACTGTACTCGCCATGACACAGGCAGTCTGTGGTTTGTACTTGTTTAACTTTTGTCTAGTTTCTGAACAGATATGAGGAGCTGTGAGCTCTGAGTGCTAACAGCTAACGGCTGATGTTGTTTTTCTGGGGTGCTCATTGAAGATGACGTCACGGCTCCGCCTACACTGCGTTACTATAGATACTGCCCCAGTTCCTAAACTGTAATGGAAGCGCAGCATTAAAGTGAGCTGGGCCTAACAAGGCCTAACAAAACCGTACTAAGTCGAGCGAGGCCTGCGGTGGAAATGCGCCATAAGTGCCGGCACTAAATACGGCAAAGTACTTGGTGTGAACGCGCCTATTAAGTCTTGCATGAGTTTAACCTAATCTTTTAGGGAATGGCCATCCCGACTTAACTGAGGCATGAATGCCAAAAACAGCTAACTTACAGATAATGAAACCCATCTTTGTTGCAGATTTTATGTGTGAAACAGGAAAAAAGGGGAGGGGTGCCAGACAGACGGACTGTGAACTGTGTGTGTGCCATTTTAGACTTGATTGAAAGTGAAAAGAGCAGTGGTGTCACCATCACATTCATCCCTGTGGTCTGAGTAACAATAGGCTTTAACCTAACAGACGCAGACAGAAGAGAAGGGGGGGTGGTCTAGGTCCAAAGTCAAGACAGAAAGAGAGAGCAGCATTCCCAGCTGTGGGAAATGCTTTATACCCAATATCATCTGACATAAGAACTTGTACAAGATACTTCACTGGGTTTCTGGAGAATAGTGTAGTGATTAATGATGACTGGCGAAACATTATTTAGACAGCTTGGAGGGAAGGTAGCTCTCAAATGTTCCCCTGATGCATTTAAGAATTGCACTCCCCCAATTTTCGCCTGATCCTTTGCTCTCCGCTGTGATGATTTCAGCACTGGAAGATCACATTTGGACTATTTTACACCAAGCTGTACTTAGTGAAATTTTTTTTTTTTTACATATCTGACATTACCCCTCACAGCTAGACACAAAGATTGGTTGAGTATTTGACTCAGTGGGAGGGGGAGATGTCAACCATTTTGGATGTTTTCTTTTCTGTCTAGCACTGGAAGATGCATCTTTCATGTCATAGTCAGATGCCCTCCTCATTGGCATAGTTAAGTAAGTGACAGTAAGTGTTTGCCAGCATGAAAAATACCATACATATGATCCTGAAATTCCAGTTTGGATAATAAGTATCACCCAAAGTTTTACATGTAGCAGCACACCCACACCAAAATAGGCACTTCCATTTTTCAAGGCACTGCTATTTTTGTCTAAACTCAGTCTTTTTGAAGTGTCTGCTGTATGCCTTTTTGGTACTTTCATGTTTGCAATCTGGTATTTAGGTGGAAATAGTGGGTGGCTACTGTGCTGGTGAGAAGTAACACATTTGGTCTGGTTCCAGAATATATGTTGGTTCAGCAGTGTGTGACAAACCCACCCATCAGCCCTGGATAACCCTCCATGTTCTGGTCAGTTCCCTCCCTTGTACTCCTGCTGCTCTTTATTTTTCGTCGTTCATCATAGTAAAAGCAGTTTGCAGTTGATAGGATCTCAACCTTTGTGTGCTTGTTAGTGTGTTTGAGTGTCTTTACGGGGGTATCTGGGCTGCTACACCATGCTAGTGTGTGTATGTTGGTGTTTGTTATCTTTAGCATCAGACATGTACTTTATTTTTTTTAGCCCAAGCCCAGAATAACCATATCATCGCTTCCCTGTTAGATGGCCTGTCCTTCCTCTATGTCTCTCTTTCTCCTCTGTCATTTCTGGCTTGAAAGCAGCAGTCGGGTTGCCATGGTTTGGTTAGATACAGTAATCCAATGTGTACACATACACACATGCACACCTCACTGCATAAATAATTGACCTGTCACAGTGAGACGGCAGGACAGACCAGATGCACTCTCCGCTCCTCTATTCTCTGTTCTCCTCTCTCATTTCTCCCCCATCTCAGCCTCAATACTCTCCGTTTCCTCACCATTCTTTAACTTATGCTATTTTTTTTGTGATCTTACCTTTTCATTTTGTATTATCTTGTCACACCATTTATTTTAGTGTCTGGGCAATACAACACACTATAGTAGATTGCAATGAAAGGGCTTGAATCGTTTGTTTCATTTAATGTAGTTAAAACTCAATTTGACTTTATTTTATGTTAGCATCAACCAACAAAATACTGGACTGTACTATTTAAATAATAGGAAATGAAGGTAGGATAAGAATAAACGACCCCACAGTTCTGGAACTAGGCTTAATTGAGGCTGCCAGGTTATAAAATGTGTCAAATGCTGATAAGTATAACACAAACAGGATCAAGCTGATTTTCTTTTGTTTTTCCATTGAGCTTTAAGAAGTTATTTGATATCTGAATGTTAAGATGTTCTTAAATGTCTTCAAGGACATCAGACTTCTGCTTGATTGCTCCTAATTTTACAGAATCATTAAGTTTCGTGTCATCAGCAAAGCATTGTGGCCCTAGGTCAAAGCCATGGGGTACTCCACAGTTGAGTATTTATTTTCTCCTGCAACTTGAAATGACCTGTTGAGTTTAATTTGGAAACCCTTTGAAAGGCCATAAGTGCCCTTCCGACTGCAAAGACTACAGCTGTTGGTCTGCGGATGGCCAAGATAATCATGCGTAAGGGAATCGAATGTGCCAATAGTCTATCCAGCCAATTCAACATGCCAAAAGGCCAACGTGTGGTTTATAAGGGCAAACAGAAGCCAGTAATGCCTGATGTACCATTTAAATGTACAAGCAATGGTTGCCCACAGACTCTCAACAACAGCCCAACAGCTGCCAACGGCCAGTGGTGAGCTCAGTTTGCGGAGGTCCTGAATATGAACTAGGCAAAGCAGAGTTCATCTCTCCAGGCTACTATCCTACAATTCTCGGGGCTGAGTGTGTGGGCAGGAAGGAAATGATCACACCCTAGCAACCCCCCATTCACTGCACACACACAAATGCATAGAGACATAAGGAGAGAAAGGTAGAGGGAGTATCAGATGGCACAGTGTCCTACTGGAGATGTCTCATTAAGATGTGTGTGTTCTGTACCAAAGGTTCATTCTGTAGGTTTGAAGAGGCTCAGATTACCACAGATGCTCCGTCTCTCTTTTGTTTCTTATTCTATTGGTAGTCCATTCACAAGATCTGGGTAGAAGCTAATATAAAGGAAACGGGAAGCGTTGATGTTGAACAACTTAACTTTAGGAAACCAAGGAACATGATACGTGTTGAGATCATCATGTGAGCTCTTGCAAATAATTATTCATAACGATGGAAACTCATTTAAACTTAACTTAAACATTACATTTGCAGTTACCTGTTGCATTATCAACTATAAAAAGTCAGGATGATTAAATGTGCATCCAACCGAAGACTTTTCTTTGTGATTGAATGTTGAAGCTCACTCATCTTCTCCTTCTTCCTCCCCAGGGTTTCACCTCAGTGGCACAGTAACTGAACCCGCCACATCATCAGATCCAGAGGTCACCCACAAGGTGGCCATCAGCTTCGACCGATGCAAGATCACCTCCGTCACTTGTGGTTGCGGGAACAGAGACATTTTCTACTGCGCCCATGTGGTGGCGCTCTCTCTTTACAGGATTCGCAAGCCTGAACAGGTAATGTACAAAATATATCTATATGTCTATAAGTGCATTTGCAAGGATATGAATAGCCTGTTTATGAGGCTAATCCTGGTTCTGATTTGTATTTGGGATGTTGTGTTTTTGAGCGCAGATACATTTGGTTATTCATATTTATCCCTTTATTATACTATTGTCATTACAACCGCGCAGAACAGTGGGAGACAACAAAGTCTCTTTTATTACCAAAAGACAAAACTATGTTTATTTAACGCTCCAGATCTTAAATGCTTGTGTGATACGGCCCTTGGCTTAGGTTTATACATGAAACAGTATCAGGTTTCCTTTGGGGTGCATACATATCTTTTAATTCACTGGATAAGTGATGTTTACATGTACACACATATAAGAATATTCCAAAAAACTGGTCATAAACTTGCTGTTGATGCTAACACACTCAATACAAAGTCACACAAATGTCACATACTGCAGGAGAGGGCTACTTACTCTTCTGAAAATGTCATAGACCAACTTAAAATAACAATAAGTTTTTAGTTGAAACTTCATACATCAACATCTCCATGTGTGTATCTGATGCAGGTGAAGCTGCGGTTGCCTATCTCAGAGACGTTGTTCCAGATGAACAGAGATCAGCTGCAGAAGCTGGTGCAGTACCTGATCACGGCCCACCACACCGAGGTGCTGCCCACCGCTCAGAAACTGGCAGACGAGATCCTCTCCTCCAACTCTGAGATCAACCAGGTCCACGGTGAGAGGAAACATTGTGGCAAACTTTGAGCTCATGATATGTGATTTTAAAAACAACTTTATCCACCAAGTCCACGTTTGAAAAGTTGATGTGCTGTCCATCCCACGGCAGTGATATCTTCACAGCAACAGGCCAGACTTAAAAGCTTAAGACTTTAAACATGCTACGTCATGCGTCAGAGTCCTGATTTCTTCGTCAAAGCAGCAAGTCAGGCTTCAAATGACTTGTTTGATTTCTTAGTTTTCTCCTGTGACTACCTCCTTCCAGTGGCAGGAGAGCATTGAAGAAAGCAGGATGGAAAAAGAGGTGAAGGATGAAATGGATGCAGGAGAAGATAGATGTGTGAAAAGGAAAAGGGACACTGAGAGGAAGAGACGGGGAGAAATGGCCCTCTGGGACACGGGAAGGAGAGGAAAGATGAAAGAACCGGAGAATTTACCGAGATGAAAAACAAGAGGAGAACCTCAACAGACCCGCGTTGGGGAAAACGACAAAGCATACACATCCTTTCACCAAACAAAACTTTACTTCTGCGTCTCTATTTCATCCTCCGCGCTAAATGTTGACATTCTCCAGCTCTCCTGTCCAGGAAGCCCCGCGCTGTGTTTCCTGTCTCTGTTTGACAAGGGGGATCATGGGGGTTGAAGTTCAGTCGTTCCAGGAGCAAGGCTTGCTTTGATGGGGGAATAATGTTACTGTTTGCTGTTGCGTACTCTTAGCCGGTTGGAAACACATCTCTGGGCCTTCCTCAGCTCGCTTCCTGCTAGATCAAAGCAGCTTCCCCCTTCTGAGCATATCTGCATTTCCCCGAAGTATAACTCAGGCACACAGTGCAGAACTGAAGAAAAATAAAGTTGGCCATATATTTCTTAGGGCATGATTAGCATAAAAGAAGCAGCTTTTCTCAAATACAGGTGCACTGCAACTTCAATGTAAAACAAATTGGTATGAGAACAGTATCCGAGTAACAACTTTAGATTGGATTGCTATAAGATCTGTTGTTGTGTCACTGTTTGTGCCTGTAGTTTAATTTGTGTGTGTATTTCCAGGCGCTCCGGACCCGACTGCAGGCGCCAGCATTGATGATGACAACTGCTGGCATCTGGATGAGGATCAAGTCAGGGAGCAAGTCAAACAGTTTCTGTCACAGGGAGGATACTATGGCTCTGGGAAGCAACTCAACTCCATGTTCGCGAAGGTAAGCACCGCCTCTTCCTGTCTCTGTCACAATAGATCTTTTTATTTCATTACTATTGTCAAAATCATCAATCATGACACAGAGTAAAATAATTGTTTAACTTTGTTTAACAACTAAAGAATATTGTCTTGAGGATTTCTTCTTGACATTTTGTACTTCTTCTACTTAAGTGATTTAGTATTGGACTTAGTTAAAACTTTGGGGACTCACAGGAGACTTCAAAAAAGACAGTCAAAATCGATGTCCTGACTTGTAGACACTAGTATGGCTCTAGCTAAATTCTATATTTCCCATACTCTATAGTGGCTATTGAAAACGATGAATGTATCGTATGTACATGAAAATATATCTTCACCTTCCTCTAAATCAGTTAAATGCCCCTTTTAAAATAATGAAGTCATTTCATGAAGTTGTTTAAAATCAATCTATCATATTATATCCTTCTTTCAGAATTTCTTCCGACTTCTTTCTTACTTCCTCTTGAACCCACCACTTATTCACTTCTTTCAGAGAATGCAGTGATTCACAGACTTTTAAATTGAGACACTCTTCCCTTGGCATCCATTCAACTTCACGTCTCTTTTTAAAAGTATGGTTTCCCACCGGGAGAATTGCACAAGAACATCTTAAGATCTCTTTAACTGTAATATTCAAACTCAAGGCATTAACAAGTCTTGAATATGGTTTTGCAAGTTGATTGAGGATTCATAAATGTCCTTTTCTTAGTCTTTGTCTGAGTCCAACAAGCTCACTTTACTCAGACATAGATTTTGAGCACTTTCTTATTCTAAGTGGTATTCACAAGGGTTTATAATATCTGGAGTGTAACCTCATGTTGACCCTAAAGGATCCTCTATGATAGGGCTGTTTCGAGACATCATGCTTTATATGTTCAATTCACTCTGAAGTCAAATAAGTAGATGCAAGCCATATACCATATTTAAAGGGACTTTTTTTTAGCTATCCTTTTCTGGCTGTTTACAAGCATATCACACCGACTCCAGTTCAGTACTAAACAGACATATTTCTCTTTCCGGGTCTTTACAGGTGAGGGAGATGCTACGAATGCGAGACTCCAACGGAGCCCGAATGCTGACGCTCATAACGGAACAGTTTATGGCAGACCCTCGATTGTCGCTATGGAGACAGCAAGGCACGGGCATGACAGACAAGTGTCGGCAGCTCTGGGATGAACTAGGTAAGAACAGTCGGAGAAAAATGTCAGAAAGAAAACACATGTGTTATTATCTTCACCAGTGTGCGTCTGTCCGCAGCTAATATCAAAAACTGATGAACCCATCAGCCTCAATTTTCTCATACTCCTCAGTAGCAAAAGGCATTTCCAGCTATCAATAGGCTAAAAACAAACTTTACCTACTCAATTAATTTAATTTACAAACACATCAAATACAAGAACAATCATAAGACAAAATCAAGAGCAAATACCCCTCACTAGGGGTACTAATCCAACTATAACTAATACATGGTACCGAGGCTGTTACACGCCACATTAACATTTTTTGTTGATTAAAACTTAACTCCATAGATAATGTGATCTAATTCGAAACCTTCTGATTCATTTCAAACTTGATATGTTCAGATCCACTTAAGTTAGGCACAACATGAGATAAATAAATCCATGTTTTTGTTTGCTTTGTTACAATCTTACCTGCAAGGGAGTCGTGTATGGGGTCAGAAAGTCCAAGTTTGGCCCATCATTTGGACAAGGATATTCTCACCAACAGTTTTTTTAGTTTGTATCTTCATGTTTAAATGCTTAACAGTTGCTTGGGTAAAAGCATCAGCTAAATGTAATACAGGAGGTGGACACACCAGAGATCTAGACTCTACTTAGTGTGCTTTCCCAGTTTGTTTACGAGTTGGCCACTCAGCTATGTTGCTGGTCAGACAGCCAGGCCCACAGAAGTGTCCGGCCTGTCAGGTACTCAGACAAATGGACAGTCACCTTGTTCCTCCAGTCAGTGAGCTATTAGGTCCTCCAGTCAGCAGCTTCTCCTCCTGCTCTCCTCTCGCTCCTCTCACAGACTGAATAATAAAGGCTGCCGATCAATAGGGCTGCTCAGCTTTTCTGCAATCAATCCCAGCATTTAGGAGGTCAGTGAGAACACTTCCTGGGTGAGCGAGGGAGATCATGACACAGACAGAAATAACAGCCAGACACTCAGGGTTTGCCGCCTGATCATTTTTCCTCAGAGATGCAGACATCTGACAGTTGACCCCGCTCCAGGTCTGTGTATGGAGAGCCGGTGCTTAAAGTGTAGTGAAGTTAATGGAGAAGGCCAGCAAGCTTTTGACTCTGGCTTTAATAAACGGCCATGGCAAAGTCAATGTGAGAAACAAAAAGCAGCACATTCTTCAGCTTTTTAGGCATAATAACATGACTAAATGAATATTTTCAAACTACTTATTTGAGTTTTTTTGCCATATTATTTGTATTTGATAAGGCTTCTGATTTAGCCTTGGCGAGCTTTCTGAATTAATAGATACATTGTTTGTCAATGAAATATCGGAAAATTGTAAAAATGCCTATATGCCTTTTTAATTAGTTTATTTATTCATTTCAAATAGTAATAGTACACAATCTTGTACCCGAACATTACAGGCAATGTCCTGTCCTCTGTCTCCCCCTTTCACTCTTTGTCTCAATAAAGGCAATCTCTGGCCCCAAAAATATCTTTTAAAAAAACACAAAAATATACAGATTACTGTACAGTATGGATGCAAAAATCTAGTATGAAGAAAGAATGAACCGTTTATCCTTACATTTAAAAACTGAAATCAATTGGTCAGGAGTGACAGCATTGAGGTTTCTCTTGTGATCAAGGAATTGTAATGGCAAATTGATTACTTTTATAAAAAGAAAAAAGCTTCATAATGTTTGTAAGTTTTGAGGAACATTTAAGGAAAAGCGTATTTTTTAGTATTAGTAGAATTCCGCCAGCTTGGACACTTCCCTGGACCAATATTAGACAGTACTACAAAACCTTCCTTCCTAACCTCTGACTGCCTCTCTAACCCCCCAGGTGCATTGTGGGTGTGCGTGGTGCTAAACCCCCACTGTAAGAGCGAGGAGAAGACCGGCTGGCTGAAGCAGCTGAAGAAATGGGGCGACATGGACATCTGCCCGCTGGAGGATGGCAACTATGGCAGCGAGCTTCCAAACATCACCAACGCTCTGCCGCAGAGCAGCCTGGCACAGGGTCAGCACAAACACACATTCTACTCCGTAATCAAAATATGAATACACTGCCTGGACAGATATGATAGGACCACATGGCGCTTTTTCTGACCCTGTGTGTGTGCTGTTTTTCCCAGACTCTCTGACCAGGCCGAGGAGGTCGGTGTTCAGCCGGGCCGTGGAGGCGTGTGACCTCCACTGGCAGGACAGCCACCTCCAGAGGATCATCAGCAGCGACCACTACATGTCTCCATCCTACCAGAGGGAGGGGGAGAGCCTGCTGTTCAACCCCCAGGGCCTGCCGTTGTGGCTCGGTGAGCAACCACACACACACACACACACACACACACACACACACATACACACACACACATACACACACACACACACATACACACACATACACACACACACATACACACACACACACACACTGTCATATTGGGATTATTTCAGTCCTCAAAAAGTGTTTCCTTATTTTTTCGTCATTTTCAAGAGGAACAGCAGTGTTTATTTCACATACACACAGTCTCTAATTTCATTGAAAGCAGAACCAGCACACACACACTAATTCTGCTGATATTGAGGCCAGTATCTGCAGTAAGCAGCTTCCAGCTAAGATCTGTCGGATTCTGCAACTTAAGCCAGCTATCAGACTGTGTGTGTGTGTGTGTGTGTGTGTGTGTGTGTGTGTGTGTGTGTGTGTGTGTGTGTGTGTGTGTGTGTGTGTGTGTGTGTGTGTGTGTGTGTGTGTGTGTTGTGTGTGTGTTGTGTGTGGTGTGTGTGTGTGTGTGTGTGTGTGTGTGTGTGTGTGTTGTGTGTGTGTGTGTGTGTGTGTGTGTGTGTGTGTGTGTGTGTGTGTGTGTGTGGTGTGTGTGTGTGTGTGTGTGTGTGTGTGTGTGTGTGTGTGTGTGTGTGTGTGTGTGTGTGTGTGTGTGTGTGTGTGTGTGTGTGTGTGTGTGTGTGTGTGTGTGTGTGTGTGTGTGTCCTTGGTATGGGGATCAGATGGTCACAGGTTCAAACCCTACTGCAGTCAGCATGTCGTTGTGTCCCTGGGCAAGACCAGATTGCTCCTGTGGGGATTGCCCACAGTATTGAGTATGTAAGTCGCTTTGGATAAAAGCGTCTAACATGTAATGTAGTGTGCGTGTTTTATAGTGTGTCTGTGCCATTACCGACTTCATCCATTATCCCACATTTTGTGTGTTTGTAAGAAAAATGTGACTCTGTACAGCAAAGCCTTTCTTTGGTTGTGTCAATGTCACTCTGTTCGTGTGTATGTGGGTAAAGCTGTGCTGACTCTCCTTCATCTCACACACAGACCACGTCCCGACGGCTTGCGCTCGCGTTGACGCCCTGCGTTCCCACGGCTACTCCAGGGAGGCATTACGATTGGCCGTCGCCATCATCAACACACTCCGCCTACAGCAGCACAGACAGATGGACATCTACAAACACCAAAAGAAAGGTACGCCACACACACATTTGTATTTAAATATATGCTGTTTGTTTGTTTTCCGGAGTTAGTTTAATGTTTTTTTAACATTTATCCTCCACTCTCAGATCTCCTCCAGAGGGGCATGACCTCCACCACCAACCTGGAGGGCTGGGTGGGTCATCCCTTAGACCCGATTGGCTGTCTGTTCGTCACCCTCACCGAAACCTGCCGTGTGGACGACGACAGCACCATGGATACGGGAGGTAGGAAAACAAGAAATGGTTTCTACTTTTGAAATAGTTCTCTCTATAGGATTTGTTATGGCAAATCATAACAACTCAGAGAATCGTCCTACGGTTCGATTCAAGATAATAAAAGGGAAAAAGGCGGACATGTTTAGGTCTTTCGGTAACTCAATATTCCATTACATTTGTATTCAGTTTATATAAATTAAATATATATAAATTAAATTATTAAATGATATCAATTCAATTCATAAGGGATACAAATGTCAGGATCTACTCCAGTGGGCTGTGTGTCAAATTATGGCATGAAAACGTAAAAGTAAAGTGTGAATAAGATTAGAGTTTTAATATTTGAAAATATTATCTACTGATAAAATATTGATTACATAAAAAGACAAACGCTAACACTTTCTGAATGCTCAGTGAGCTCAAGAATTCTAACTATTAAAAAAAAAAAAAATGTTGTACTTTATATTATTATTGATTGGCTTAGGTTTTCTTATTTATATTTTTCTATTCTTATTTCTTAGAAAATTTCAATTCCAGAAACACAAAATAAGTCTGTCAAACTGAGATGTGTTGTTTTCTAATGTGCTTTGGATCTTAATAGAAGATTATGAGAAGGCTTGTTATAATTTAAGGCTTGTGCATAAATGTTTAGTGTGACTTTAGGTTCATATTTTATTTCACATTGAAATAGCCATTTTAACAGGGCTTTTTACCATGGTGACCTGGTGAGCTGAGAATAAGCTTCACCTCCCACGTCGCCTCCATTATGAGCAGCCATTAGTATTGAGTGCTGGTCAGAGCTGCAGCAACCTAACAATTTCTAGAGACAGGAAATAAAAGGTAGACACAGCCAGATTGAAAGGTTTTCAATATAATTCAGACATGTGAAATTACCTTTTATGTTCCAAGTATTAGTTATAGCCACCTTAATGCACACATTAAGATCAGAATCATTCCCTCTCTGCATGTCCTAGTTTTGTACTGCCATTAGTAAAGGTAACCTGCTGTCCCACTAAGCGAAAGCATGTACACTGTACTTCAGCCAAACACATACTCGACCTCCCTCACAATACATGGGTCAAAGAGCTTAATTGCCAAAACACAGGGTATATAATTCCTCGCACACTTAACCAGCTGATGCGGTGTAATCCAGAGGTGAGCGGGTTACAACCAGCAGCGACTAATTAGGACAAAAGAATCCATGTTCTTATATCAGGGGCGCTATTGTGCTGCAGACAGGCCATAAAAAGCAGAGAATGAATGGATAGTGATCTGAAAAAACCTGAAATTTAGTGTGTGTGTGTTGTGTGTGTGTGTGTGTGTGTGATGTGTGTGTTGTGGTGTGTTGTGTGTGGTGTGTGTGTGTGTGTGTGTGTGTGTGTGGTGGTGTGTTGTGTGTGTGTGTGTGTGTGTGTGTGTGTGGGTGTGTGTGTGTGTGTTGTGTGTGTGTGTGTGTGTGTGTGTGTGTGTGTGTGTGTGTGTGTGTGTGCTTGTGTGTGATGTGTGTGTGTGTGTCGTGTGTGTGTGTGTGTGTGTGTGTGTGTGTGTGTGTGATGTGTGTGTGTTGTGTGTGTGTGTGTGTGTGTGTGTGTGTGATGTGTGTGTGTGTGTGTGTGTGTGTGTGTGTGTGTGTGTGTGTGTGTGTGTGTGTGTGTGTGTGTGTGTGTGTGTGTGTGTGTGTGTTGTTGTGTGTGTGTGTGTGGTATAGGATCTATCACCATTTGCATTTCCCACCCTTTTTTCACCAGTGGCTATGCAACAGAGCAGAATAGGGGTTGGGTTTTCCCATTGTTAGCAGGCTACAGGGAACTATTGTCAACCCAAACAATGCTGGCACACTCATTGGTGCAAGTGTGTGTTTGTGTGTGTTGTGGGGATAGAGTGAATGATTGTCTTATGTTGTTTTGGAAATTTGAGAATGTATATGGATATTTTCTGAGTGTTAGCTTAGCCCGGTCACCATGCTTTATTTCCCTCTGGAAGACAGCTGGGAACATCTGTTAAAAGAGGCTCCACAAGACTATGCGTCGACCAATGAAAATGCAGTTCACTCTCCGATCAGTTCAAATCAACCAATCACACGTCCGCCTACATACAAAACAACAAAAACTGATGGCGCTGGGGTTAAGCCTGTAAAATCAGTTTCCACTTTTCCCTGGATTTCTCTCACTGACACACGCACTTGCACACACATTCGTGGAATAAGCGGGATTGAGGGGGATCTATTGCTCACAGGGGATTTAAGCAGAATTATGGGGTGGGGGAGACGGAGAGAACAAATGGGCACCAATCAACAGCTGAGACTCTCGTGGCATCTGTTCTCACTTAGAGCAGCCGAGCATTGCTGTAGGGTTAGTGTCCATTTAAATTGGTGATCAGTTCAACATGCATACTGTGTTCATATGTAAAGAAAGCGTTATAGCTATATATACACCGGTCATACCAAGTATAATTTTCTCTGAAAATGTAATGGGAGGTTCACCCCAAATTCAAAAATACATATTTTCCCTCTTTCCCGTTGTTTTTTCTTAATCAATAAATCAACATTTGAGTCTTTTGTAAATATAACACCAGAGATGTGTGCCTTTTCTTCAATATATTGGAATTAAATGGCATTCATATATTTATTTTGGGGCACTTTGAGCAACACAAACCATTTGAAAAACTCTAGAGCAAGGTCTCTTTCCAGAAATGATGACTGTCACTCAAGTACAGGAACTATTATCTTTGTTGTGATCTTTTGGGTATGAGATTGACAGGGCAGTAGGCTCATCTCGACACACAATGACATATCAGTTCATTGTAATAACACTAGTATTTCTCTTCAGATTTCAACACATCTTCTTTTGGTTAACTAAACACCTTTCTTTCTTCCTTCCTCTCAGATGGTGACCTCAGGCCTCCGGTCTACCACCATGTTCCCGTGTGGGGCAGCTCTGATGGAGGGGAGTCCTACCTGACTTTGGCCTTAGAGGTAGCTCTGATGGGAATGGGCCAGCAGAGGATAATGCCCGAGGGTCTCTACGCTCAGGATAAGGTACAGTAATCCTGAAAATACACAATATACATTTTAACCTAATCCAAAAACAGACTTTTACCCCCTCATGTAAGAAAACATAAATGGTTTGTTGCATATTAAAACAAGCTGTGTGAATTTGCATGGTGTAGACAATGTTAGAAAAACACTTTCATTGAACATCTGTGTGAAGCATTTGCTATGCAAAAAAAGAGAAAAGGTCATGTTGTCGCTATTAAGTTGTTTTATGTAAATCTGCTTTGGAGTGCAAAAATGGCTCTTAATGTCAGGTGCAATCAGCAAAAATATGAATGTTTTAGACAAGGTCAGTTTATTTGTTTAACAATTTTAACAACAAGGCCAAGTGCTTTGAAAAACATGGGAAAGAAGACACACATAGGGTTGCAAAATGTAAGCACTCGCATTTTGTAAAGGAATTCTTGATAGTGAAATTAAATCACATATTCACTGTGACTGTAGATACACACAGATGTGAGAGTCAGAGGTATTAAAGAACCCTGCTGGGCCTTTAATACCTCAAACTCAAAATCCCCTCGCTGCGCTGGTTCCTCCCGCTTAACAGTTATAAATCACAAATCTGAACTCTACATCCTTGAATTCTGAAAATATCAATCTCTTTGCATCTCTCCCAGAGGTTTTATTTATGTTTCATGGGAGCATTTTGGCCCATTTTCCATCATTTTCATTTAAACTAAATTGAACATTTACTGTCTGATCACAGTGAATAAAATGCAATTTGTGACTGTTTTATCTATCTATTGTTTTATGTCCTATATATCCTGTGACTTAAGTTTTTCATTGCCATATCTACACTGTAGCTACTGTGCACATGGCAATAAAGCCTTGAAACTCAAATCTTGAATTTATGTTTTAGGTGTGTCGTAACGAGGAGCAGATTGTCCTGAAACTTCAAGAACTCGAGCTAGACGACCTCCTGGTTCAGACTCTTCGGAAACAGTCCGTCCAGCTACTAGAAGGTATGACATCTTTGTGTGCCACCTGGTCTTTCCACATTGTTGAGAAGCAAAAATAAACTGAACATAATTCATTCTTTCTCTTGATCCAGCTGGTCCGTTCAGCGGTCTAGGTGAGGTCATCCACAGGGAGAGTGTTCCCATGCACACCTTCGCTAAGTACCTCTTCACCGCCCTGCTGCCACACGACGCAGACATGGCATACAAGGTGGCTCTGCGCGCCATGAGGTCAGTTTCCCAACACCATGAATCATTTCAGCCAATGTCAAACCGAATTATATAGGATATTGAGTTCATGAGGTCCAAAGGAGTTTCAACACAGCCTGAAACCTGTTGAAATATTCCGTTTTATTTAAGTTGTTTAAGAGCAGAGATGATTCAGCTTTTTGGTAATTTTCGAGCCTGTAGCAAGGGATTATGAGCGCATTGTACGGATGTGTCATTATGCATTCATTTGCTGATCATTTTCTAGATGTATCAATTAGTTTGATATATGAAAGGCAATTTCTGCTTAAGAAATACTTCAATCAATAATTAAAATAGTTGGATATTTCCTTTCTGCCAATCAACTTATCAGCACGGCTCTAAAACACACTTCATTCATTATGGCTTAGTGTGCTATATTAACTGCTAAGTTAGTAGAAGCCGTCAATCATTTGTGGTGATGGACCAAACGTATGTCCATCTATCTGCATTTTTATTTAAAGCACTACACCTTTATTATTGTACGTTAAAATGCCACCTTTAAGGTAGAACATACATAAATATATATTTATATATCTCATACACAAGAAGTCTTTCAGGCATCAAATACAAAATGACTGCATCTGAGCACGTGTGCTCTCTTTTATTATTTATATGACTTCTTTGCTGCTACCTGCCCTTTTGCACCATTGTATATCTGTGTGTTTTTGATGGTGTATTGTGTTATCTGCATTGAATGTAGTGGTCATAAGTAAATGTACTCATATTTAATCTATAAACTAGATTACACATGGGTGTTTTTCAAATTCTAATGCTGAAATCCATCCTAGATGTTTCATTTGAACTAAAGACATGATGAAAAATACCTAATGTTGTGTGCCTCCATCAGGTTGCCGGTGCTGGAGTCCTCCGCAGGCTCCGGGGACGGGGGCCACCCTCACCACGGCATCTCCATCGTTCCCAGTAGATACCCGCGCTGGTTCACTCTGGGTCACCTGGAGTCCCAGCAGTGTGAGCTGGCCTCCACCATGCTCACTGCTGCTAAAGGTACTCATCACTGCACCCATAGCTGTGGTCTCAGTGGAGAGATGTCCCCTTCAGGTGTCTCTCAAACACTGTGTGGCTGTTAATAACCTTTTATTTCCCCGCAGGTGACATGTTGAGGTTGCGCACGGTGCTGGAGGCGATCCAGAAGAACATCCACTCCTCTTCCTTAATCTTCAAACTGGCCCAGGACGCCTTTAAAATCGCCACCCCCGCAGACAACCCGCCCGATATAACTCTGCTCAACGTGGCACTGGAGCTAGGCCTTCAGGTAAGCCAGCTATCACACACACACACACACACACACACACACACACACACACACACACACACACACACACACACACACACACACACACACACACACACACACACACACACACACACACACACACACACACACACACACACACACACACACACACACACACACACACACACACACACACACACACACACACACACACACTTTGGTCACTCGTTGAAACATGCTACTGCTTCCTTGAACTTGTAATTTGTGCAGGCCTCCTCAGCCTCACTACAAATTAGCAGAGAAAACATCACACAGCGCCTCTCCGTTGTTGATGAGAAGAAACCACATAATTAAGCCTTTTGGGTTTTACGGTAAACATAGGAAAAAAGAAAGCTTCAGATCATCAAGGCTGCGGCATAGCTGTGGCTTCAACCGCCTCTTCCTCCTCCTCCTGGCATTGAACTGTATCAGCTGAAGTCCTGACAGCAACACTGCTAATAAAGAAAAGGGTCACATTTAGACATCTGTGTAATCCTAACACTTTTTTAGATGCATCTATCATCACTGAAGACATGTGGTGTTGTACTATTATTTAATTATAAATATATTTTGAGGTGTTTTGTCAAAAACTCAGTGAATGCGAGGGAAATACTGGATTTATTAATATGTGTTTAATAGATGCTTTTTTCCCATTGTACAAAGTAGCTGAAAATACATAACGTTCTTCATGTTTGCCTCGCAGGTGATGAGGATGACTCTGTCCACACTGAACTGGAGAAGGAGAGAGATGGTTCGATGGCTAGTAACCTGTGCCACTGAAGTCGGTATGTGATGCCTCTACTACACACACACTGCACACACACACACACACTGCACACACACTGGCACCATTATGGCTTGAATTCAAAAATACTTTTTTATATTGCTAAATAGCACGTAACATAAAACAGTAGAAAAGAGTACACACAAATGTTTTTTGTATAGAATAACAAATGGTGCAAAATGACTGGGAAACATTGATTGATTCATAATAATAATAATAAAGGACCTGGGTTTTGTCTGCATTTAAGCTTCACACATTGGAGGGATCATATTTAAAGGCTATTAAAGTCTGCTACAATAAAGCTTCTTTAGTTTCCTTTTCTCCCTTGTCAGATTCTTTTTTTTAATAGAATAGAATCGGAGGGATGAAACGAAATGTGTCCTCTGCATTTAACCCATCCTAGTACCAGGAGTCTAGTACTAGGAGCAGTGGGCAGCTATTGTACAGCGCCCGGGAGCAATGGGGTGGGGTCCAGTGCCTTGCTCAAGGGCACCACAGGAGGTGAACTGGGACCTCTCCAAGTAGCAGTCCACACTCCATATTTAGGTCTGGTCGGGGACTTGAACCGGCGACCCTACGGCTCACAGTCCAAGCCCCTACTGACTGAGCCACTGGGAAATAAACTTCAAATAGCTCTTAAAAGTACTAAATCAAACCAGTATCGTGTAATCTTTACAACAACAAATGTTTAATCTGGACCCCCTCTCCTCCTCAGGTCTGCGGGCGTTGGTGAGCATCCTCCAGAGCTGGTACACTCTCTTCACGCCGACCGAGGCCACCAGCATCGTGGCGGCCACCGTCATGTCCCACAACACCATCCTGCGCCTCAGCCTGGACTACCCCCAGCGCGAGGAGCTGGCCAGCTGCGCCAGGACCCTCGCCCTGCAGTGCGCCATGAAGGACCCCCAGAACTGTGCCCTGTCCGCCCTGACGCTCTGCGAGAAGGACCACATCGCCTTCGAGACGGCCTACCAGATCGTGATCGACGCGGCGTCCACGGGGATGACCTACTCCCAGCTGTTCACCATCGCGAGGTACATGGAGCACCGGGGGTACCCTCTGCGGTCCTTCAAGCTGGCCTCCCTCGCCATGACCCACCTCAACCTGGCCTACAACCAGGACACGCACCCAGCCATTAACGACGTGCTCTGGGCTTGCGCGCTCAGCCACTCCCTGGGTAAAAACGAACTCGCCGCCATCATCCCCCTGGTGGTAAAGAGCGTGCACTGCGCCACGGTGCTGTCTGACATCCTGCGGCGGTGCACCATGACCGCACCGGGCCTCGCCGGCATTCCCGGGAGAAGGAACTCTGGGAAGCTAATGTCAACGGACAAAGCGCCATTGCGGCAGCTCCTAGACGCCACAATCTCGGCGTACATCAACACCACGCACTCTCGACTGACGCACATCAGTCCGCGGCACTACGGAGAGTTCATAGAGTTCCTGAGCAAAGCACGGGTGACTTTCCTGCTGGCACAGGACGGCCACATCCAGTTAGCCCAGTTCATAGACAACCTGAAACAGATCTACAAGGGCAAGAAGAAACTGATGATGTTGGTCAGGGAGCGCTTCGGCTGACCTTTTACCCCCCCCCCCCACTCCTTGAGAAGTAGTTAAACTTATTTGTTTCTATTTAAGGTTTTTTGAATTCCATGTGTTTTTGACTTCTTGAGTTGAGCCATTTGTTGACTAAGTCTTAAGTTTTTGTCCTGTTTTGTTGTTTTGTTTCTTGAATGTGAACCAGAAAGTGTTTGCAGTGTGTTGCTCTACTTCATTGAGAGTGCAAAAAGGGAGAAAATGACTTAAAATGTCAGAGAAACAACAAATAAAAACAAAGCGTTTTCACCCCCTACAACTAATGTTAAATTTAGTATGAAAAACTAAAAGGATTGTAAAAAAGAAACTTTTGTTTTTCCGTGGCACATGACGATTTAAAAAACCAAAAGATTTAGTTGGATGGGGTTCTTACTTTGAGCCAGACGATGCTTTCAGCTGGGTTCAGGGAGAAAAGGAAAGGGAAGTGGTTTTCAAAGTGGAAGGAACTTTTGAAAGTCATTTCAAAACAGAAAAGAAAACATACTGAGGTCAAAAAAACACACTTAGTGTCACTCTCATACCTCGGCTGTATTATTTGCCAGCTTTAACTTCTCTATCAGAAATGGCCCATTTCCTTCAGGGCATGTTGGAGTAGAAAGGGTAGAAAAGAGAGCTACATGTGTGAGGAGCAACCATGTGACTTACCAGAGTGCATGTTTCAAATCCAGAAGCCTGAAAGTGACATTATTCAGGCTGTTCTAGCTAAGGTAGAGTAGTTGAGGCTCCACGTGCACATATATATACAGATATATGTCATCCTATAGGCTTATAGACAGTGATAATACACAACTGTGACAAACAATGGGGTCAAATTCCAATCTTTAGAGGCACCACTGCACTGCTGTACAGCTATTTGTGGCCAAAACCTTTAAACCTAGAAGACCCAAAAGGTCACCTTTCACTCGCTACATCAATGAGAAACATAAGTCAAGTCTGCGCATCATTCTCATCAGCTTTCAGCATTTATTTGACCATATGTATTCTGTTAGAAAGCTTTGGAACATGCTTGGACCTTATTGATTTTAGTGACTTAACCAAAGCCAAAATCCCCTTTTCCATCTCATAAACATTTTCCGGGAACTCAGGAACCTTTTAAGAGTTGTTTCCTGGATCTTTTTCATGAACCTAGAGCATGACTAAGAGCAGAAATCTGGTTCCAACGTTTGATCTTTTACTTCCAACCCCTAGAGCCCCGACATTCCATAAAGTACTTTTTACCAATGCTCTTGGGACCTGTGCGGTACTTCCCGTTCCTGGTTAGTCAAACAAGCACTATTAAAATATAATAGCCATTATTATCTTAAAATAAATGGGAACTTGGAGAGTGCAGACCTCCAATTAATGAGAAGTAATGCTTGTATCAACCCAAGATTGGGAACCCCTCCAGGAACTAATGGGATCTTTCCTTTCACCAAGTTTCAAAACATTTCCTCTCAGTAGTTTTCCATCATTTCTGTCAAACTGACAGAATAAATGGAATGGAAATAAAAAAAAATCCTTGAAAAATATACTTATCTAAAATTAGGTTAGAGCGATTCAGTGCTAAACCATTCAACCATTGTGGACAGATAATAACAATTGTATCTAGAGAAAAATATTTTTTTATAAAATTTAAAATAGAATTAGGCTTATACCACTTCTGCACTAATTAATAGATCAACTGTGTAATAAAAAAATGGGCTTCTAGTAACAACCCCACAGAGAATTATTACTTGTTTCTATTTTGCCTTAGCTTTTTAGAGTCATGTAGCTAAATGTTTGGTCTCGCTGGGACATCGTCCTTGTGTCCAACAGCAGCGGGTTGTTAGCATAAATGCTAACTTAGATACCTTATACCAAACACATGCTAGCTGGTGGAGACCAAAACTGAGCTAGAGTGACTATTAGGTTAGTTCACCTGAACATGAATCCAAACGAACACCAATGTTGCTCAATCTCTGCTCAATGTGCATAACAGTACATTAGCAACTGTTTGCTAACGTATGAGCAACTTGGTTAGGTGATAATGTTGTGCTAGCTTGTTCCAATGCCCCCACTTGGCTAAAACATCTGTTCATTTTGGTTTTATTATTGTTTGGGCTTACTAAATAAAATAAAAAATGATATATCTAAAACATCAAAAAACAAAGTAATCACACTGGTTCCATCATGGCTAAAGCAAAATATGCCGATTTTGGTTGATCCTGAAGTTCTATTTAATTCCGTCAGTCCCTTGGTTTTGTTATGTAAAAGGGTCTAAACTTGCTAAAGCCATTAACTTGTAAATGCTACTGGATTTAGTCTTTCTGAACTGTCAAAGAGTCATAGATACACAGTGCAACAAAAAAAATCTGAATGATTCGATGCCCACACTCCTGTTTCTTACCCAAAGTAAGTGGGTGTTAAGTGCAAAGTGTTAATGGCAGTATACAGAACGGCAAGAGTTTGAATCTTTAATGGTCGGAGAAAACGTCATCTTATAAGCACTTCACACAAATACCTCTTCAGTACGTTCCTGCCTGCTTCAGCATTTATTTATTTATTGTTTAGTAACTTTGTTTGACTGCATATAACACACACACACACACAGCTAGTTGTTCAGTCTGTTAATGGCTGGAGAATAGGGGAATCTTTTCTTGTCTGCTTTTTACATTCCATGAGAGCTACCTTCACCCACTACCCTCGTAGTCAGTCACAACTCTGGGCCTTTCGATCTGAAGAAATGCAGAAAGAAGAATGAAACAAAAAAAGGAAAACTGAGCAAAAGAACGCGTATGAGAGGCTAAACTCAGTTCTCAGGGACATCACTTAAAGAAACAAAACAAAAAAGTAGTAGCATTAAGCATTTAAGATATTGTAAATATTAAAGTGTCAATTCAGAAAATTGTAAAGTTATAATTATTTATGATAAGTATGTTACGTGTTTGTTTTTACTTTTATGTTTTTTAGTTTTTAGCGGGGGTTTACTTGAATTGTTTGGACGGGGAATTTGACAGCATTTTTTGTAAGAGCAAACACTTAAAGGCATTTCTCAGGTGCTCCTGTGTACATTTCTTTCAGTTTTGCTATAATAACTGTTATTATTTGTCATTTTCTTTGATTTGCAAAGACAAAAAAAAAAGTCTGTTTTCCAAAAGGAAGCGTTGAGGATAATGAGGAAGGCATTCATTTGTAAAGATACGTTCTAAACCTGACTATGCAGAACCACTTCGAAGGTCTTGTCACCTCTTAAAAGATGCCCCCCCTCCAAACTTAAACGTGTGGAAGAAGAGACTCAGTGGACTGAACCACTATTAAAGAGAGGGGGGGACAGACAAAGACAAGACTCAGCATGCTTGTGTTTGGACAATGCGCAGTAGCCGGCCTGCATACGCTGCAACATAAAGAGAGGGGAAAAAAAGACAAAGGTGGAATAATGCCTTTTGTGAACGATCAATGTACAAAGTTTATTTTTGCTTTACTTCTTTGTTGGTTTTATTTAATCAGGACTCATGCCTTTAGTGTCTTCTCGGAGGTGTCGTGTGGCGGCGCCGCAGTGAGACGGAACAACACACAAATGTCAAAGAGTCAGAAACGGCAACTGTTTGAACAAAAGGAGACGGCCTGTGGATGACCTTGTGTTTTTATTTTTTATTCTTTCACGACTTCTTTTCTCATTGCTATACTTATTTTGTTATTTCATCTTCACTTGTTCATCTCCTTACCCCCTCTCACAGGGTGGAGCAATGCATGGTCAGTGAGCAGCGTTCAGGGTAACCACTTCCTTTTTGTATCCTATTGAGTCAAAGATTTACTCAAGTTAGTGGGTTTCCATCTTCTGCTGTTGCAAATGTTCTATAGATGAGGATAGAAAAAGGTTGATGTCATGTTCTGGTTACTACATTAGCATGAGAAGGTTATCTTCTTAAATCAGAGGGATATTATTATTTACTACTTTCTTAACTTTAAAGTTCCATCCAGCTGCTTTGTGATACATTTACTGACAGCATTACTGCAAATAAGTCCCTCCCTCTGACTTGATCTGTGTTTTTCAGTCTTTGTTAACTTTGTCCGCCAGTTCTTATTCTTTCTTTCCTTCTTTCTTTCTTTATTTTCTTTAGCTGTTATTAATCTAGTTCACCCACTGTTTCCCAGTTTGTTTTGGATTATTTCTAATTTAAGGGAATATGGAAAAGTGTTTCTTGCCTCTTTGTGCTACTGATTATGAAAAGGTATTTCCAGTATTTGTTGCCACAGAAGTATGATAGTTTATCATCAACACTTGTTTTTGTTTTTTGTAATTTTTTTGCGCCACTTCTTGAGCTACTGTCTATAAAGCGAGAATTTATTACTATTTATGTAACGCTACTACCATTTTATATTGATTTGTGTTGGAATCTCAGTGCTTTTCTATAAATAAAGTGTGAAACACGTTACATGGACTTCTATTTTGTCTTTTTCTCAAAACCCAGATGCATTTCTTTACTTTTGAAAAACAATCATAACGTATGTCAAAAAATACATAGTATAGTATGTTACATATAGTCACAGTATAATATTTAAAGTGGACCTATCATGCTATATTTGAATAATATAGTGTAGGACCATACCTATATAAGGCATATTTATACTTTTTTTTTTTTTAAATACCAAACAGATCATGCATTTTAGCCATGCCTCATTTTGCTCAATTTGACATTTTTTAGCTCTGGATTTGCAAAGGCAGATTCTGTGAGAACAGCACCACCTACAGGCCTGGCATATGTACTACAGCGTCTCCAGCGCTTTCGAACGGCAATGGCCGTGGCTGTCTCCTCCTGATTGGTGGAGTTGGCCCAATAGCCGTAGCGCCACCGTCCTGACGTCAGGACAGTGTTCAAATCTGGATCAGTTTTTATCAGATCCGTTGCAGCCCCTTTTTTAGAGATTTGGGTATGGAGGAAAATAGAGAGGGTTGTGTTTTCTGACACTTGGTGAGTTCCCTGGAACACCGGGGACACATATTCATGTATAAAAGACGTACAAAAGTGCATTTTGCATGATAGGTCCCCTTTAAGCTTTATTTAAGGATAGCCCCTTGAGATGAACCATCTAATTTTCGAGGGGTCCCACAATAATATGTGGAAAAAAAGTAAGTATGTCAATATTTTTTAAATAAATAATTGTATAGTATGGCACGGAAAACTCGTAGTATAGTATGTCAAAAAATCAGAAAAAACAAGTATAGTAAATAAAAAATAATTATTGTATAATGTCTATCAAAAAGTCATGGTATAATATGTCAACAAAGTAAAAGTATAGTATGCTGAAGAAGATGAAAAAGTTGTGTGTTGAATACAAAAATAATAAATTATATTGTGTAAAAACATCAGAAAAAAATACGTATAGTATGTCGAAAATATCAGAAAAGACGGCATGCTAAAGAATGTCGTTAAATATGAGAAAAGTAACAATCTATTTGTTTGGAATGAGATTGGGAAATCAGTATAGTGTGTCAACAGCATGAGGAACATTTACATAGTATATTATGTCAAAAACATCAGACTGGAAGATTGACAATAAAGTTGACTTTGAACATCATTGTTGGAATGGATCGACGTCAAAAAAATGACATTGTATATTATGTCGAATGAATCCGAAAAGAAATACTTAGTATAGTGTGCAAAGAATATCTGAAAAAAACAAAGTATAGTATGTCGACTTTAAATTAAATTAAATTAAATTATAGTGTGTCGAAATATTGGAAAAAACGAGGGATGAAGGGATCTGGGTCACAGGGGTCCACCTCAGGGCCGGGCTGAACAAAGTGGGAGGCTTTCTTCAGCAACAGGGACTGACACAGCTGTCAGCATCTGCATCAGAGAGAGCATCTCAAGGTCTTCAGACTGAAGCTAGTGTTCAGTTCTCCCCTCAATAACCACCATGGTAATAACGCCTATCAGTCTCTGTCACAGTGAAATGTGTGTGTTCATTCATGCATGTGGTCATCTAAAGAGTGTGTGTGTGTGTGTGTGTGTGTGTGTGTGTGTGTGTGTGTGTGTGTGTGTGTGTGTGTGTGTGTGTGTGTGTGTGTGTGTGTGTGTGTGTGTGTTTGGGGGCGTTCACTGATAAAGCGCTGATAGTGTCCATCCATGGCAGATGATGTACAGCCTGCTGTCTCTCCAGGCAGATTGGATTTTCAGGGTTGCTGATTTGCTGAGAGATGGAGATTGGACCTCCCTCAAACACACGCACACACAATCACAGAAACACTCACGCACACGCACACACACACACACACACACACACACACACACACACACACACACACACACACACACACACACACACAGACACAGACCACACACCCACCTGTTCAATCTCTGCGCACAAAATAAGCACATAAAAGCCCAGACACACAAACAGGCACATATACACACAGAAGTAAACACAATGAATGTACTCCAGTCATATACACACAAACAGAAACACACACACACTTACATATCAATCTCCTGCCAAATCCTTTTAGGCATCCATGTGGAAATTGATCTCCATTTCTAAAGAGCATATATTCATTGTAACAATCTCTCTCTGTCTTCACACACACACCACACACACACACACACACACACACACACACACACACACACACACACACACACACACACACACACACACACAGTTCCCAGATGGCCCACTGACACACCGCCCCAGCCTCTTCAGTCTTACCTGTCGAAAATCAGCTGTGATTTTTGTTCATTTGTCTCCGCCATTTACGCAATAGGGGGGGCCACAACAAAAGCCTTTGTGTGTGTGTGTGTGTGTATCTGCGTGAGTGTGTGAGCGCTTTGTGCGTCTGTGTTTATGGCACTACAACAACACAAAGGACAGAGATGAATGAAAGCCGCTTTCATTTGAGGAAGAACTGCTTCTCCCATCATCGACATTAATTCAGTTGCTTTGTGTATTTTGTATTTATTAATAACACCCAGGCCCACCTGCTTCTCCTCAGTCTGCATTATTTTGAGGCCTGAATTCAACATTTAATTTCTCCCCTTTGATTGAAATGTTCAGCAGGCAAATCAATAAAGATAAACACTGTTCAGCTGTTGTGGAATATCTCAGCTAATACTAGCCTTGTACATCTTTACTGTGTAGGGTAAGGGTTGTAGGCTAGCAATTTAAAACATAATCTTACTGCCAACACAATCCTTATTTCTCTGTACCATAAAGCTCCATTGTTCACCAAAAACTATGAAAAGCTATGAATGCACCGACCGATACCCCGATGCATATTGGGTACTGCCATTCGGTTTGAGAGAGGAGGGAAGTAAATAAGTACATTTACTCAAGTACTGTACTTATGTAATATTTTGAGCTACTTGTACTTTTCTTTTGTATCTCCATGTTATGCTACTTTGTACTTCACTACAACTCAGAGGTCAATTGTGTACTTTTACTCCACTACATTTATGTTGTACCTTCAGTTACTTTACAGATGTGGATGAAGGATATAATCAAGTGTTAAATCAGACTGCAGTCACACCTGGAGTAAATTCACAAGCTACCCTGCAGTATACAAAGTTATTCAAACTAGCTGCACCTTTACCAGCTTTGAGAACACTTTAATGATCAATCATTATAAAACATATCATATATATTATTCTGAAATGGACCAATCTGCATAATGAGTACTTTTGTTATTTTATATTTTTTTGTTATATTATGATTTTTGAACTTTTACTTGAGTAACATTTTGAAGGCAATACTTTTACTTTTAACATGGTATTCCTGCACTCTGGTATTTCTACTTTTACTCAAGTACAAGATCTGAGTACTTCTTCCACCTCTGGATATACCATGGAGGGACCCCTCTCTTATCGGGAAGGAAAATCCCTGCAGTGCTGACGAGCACTTTGTTGGGGTTGGTCTTTTCATGGGGAAAAAAGTATGGAGTATGAAATCAAAACAGCTTTACTTTAAGGGAAGAACTCCTTTGTCAAGTAAGGACTTAAATAGGACGTCAGCTCGCAAAAATGCCTCTAATTTTATTAGGATATTAATATGTTGAACAGTTATTGTCATCTTTAACTTATCAAGGAAAACACTTCATGATCTAAATCAAGGTGTTTGGTATAGCCAGAGAACTGCATCCCCATGAGTTAGTGTAACATATTATCTTCTTTTTTGTATCTGTTTTTGGATAATAATGAATATATTGCAGTTTGAAAAACAAAGGGAAATATGTAAATCTAAGGAGACCTTCAGTAACTAAAAAGGTTTGATCAAATATTGAATAATAAATAATGATGATAATACAAATGAACTCAAATGTATTCAGCGTGTAATACCGGCATTGGCAGTGATCATGTATCCAGCTCTGCAGTGACAACAACATGATCTCCTCACTATAGAGAGGAGGGATCCCCTGAAACCCCAGCCTGGTCACATGATGTTATGAGTTTTGCTAGAATCCTTCAAAACAACATCCGCAACAACAACCGGATTTACCGGAATCTGCTTATCTGACGTTCTTAGCTGCTCACAGAGAAAAACACAATTTAGGATTAACTGATTACTTTTCCCAGTTCCTCGTGTAAAGAGCTTCCGTCATGATTACAGTAATAATGCCAGACAAATTCTGTGTAATAAATTGCAGCTTTGTATTTACCCAATATTGACAGAAAACATTTGTGATTGGCTGTTGCTGCCGGCCCAGCTTTTGTCCAGCATCTCATTGGCGGTCGTAGGGTAATGGTTTGGTCAAATTAGTTGTGATTGGTGAAGATGATGCAAGACTTTAACTCCCCTGCTTTTGCGGAAATGACCATTGAAGACTTACATGTGCTTACCGGTAATTCTTTTTTAAGGTAATGGCTACACATTGGTGCTGTAGCACTTTAGAGGTTTTAGTCAGATGATCAAGTTGGAAAAAAACTCAGATTTCCACATTCATGCAGCAAAAGATTTCAAATTTAAAAGGTTGGTTTTTGGATTTGAAAATGGTGACTTAGTAGAGAAGATGGAAGGTCAAATCAGAGAGGCAATATATATATTTTTTTTTTATTCACACTTAAGTGACTGAATGAGAATCGGTTTAGTTATAGAAATAGCATTACAATCAACAATACCAAACATACTTTGGACCAAGGTTATAGCCGCTTGAATCGTTGAGAAATGATGGTGGTTGCTCATTCAACACTATTTTCAAAAAAAGATATGTATTCCAAGGGGCACACAATCTTTTTGAGAGAGTCCTCTAAAGGCAGACATACAATGGACAGTTAAAAAAAGATTAAAAATGGAAACGGCCGATACAGTGTTTTTTAAAAATTATTATTCAATGCATTCTTCTTTTTTCAAAACCTGCAATGCAACTCACAAACGTTCAGTTCACTGTTGTTGGTAACAGAGTAACCTCCAATCTTTGTTTTTTAAAGAAAATATGTTTTAAACCCAA